CGCGCGCGCGTGTGCGTGCGCAAAAACTCGTGCGCGTACATATGATCAGTCGGGCCTAAATCTGCTTCGAATGCGCGCGCCTGGGGACGCTTGGCGGACGAGCCCCCAGCGCGGCGAGGCTCTCCTTGGTCAAATAAAGTCAACGGCCGTCAGTGCGCTGTCAAAGAAGCTCGAATCTCTCACAGGTCGTCGCCCCACGGCGCCTGCACGAGCCGGCCAGCGTGCTCACCTCCACCACGTTGTCGTGCCTGAAGCTGAGCATGAGCTCAATCTCGGACTGGATCCTCACGGACTGCTGCACGTCGCTGTGAAGCATCACCTGCGGCAGGCGGTGCGGGCACGACAGAGAGCGCGGAGGGGGGGTGTGAGGCGCAGGCGCAGGCGCTGGGGGCGCAGAGCGGACAGGCAAGGTGCATGGAGAATGTAAGGCGGGTTGGTTGCGTGGTGGTTGTGCAGGGGTCAGAAGTAAGGCTGACTAAGATAGGGTTGTTACGCGTTGCAGCTGGGGGTGCGCAGTCTGTATGGCCTGAGGCCCATTTCAGGCAGTTGTGCTGGTGCCCATGATGTGAGCTGAGGCCTGGATCGAACGGCCCAATGGTGCACTTCACACGGCGATCTTCAAAATCCAAATTTGACGCTTTGATACAAAAAATGCGCGAAACCGCAACCCCAGGATTTATGGCTAGGGGTTTCCACTCGCTAAACCCTGGTGTGCAGCCAACACAGCCGCCAACCCCCGCGCCCCGTCCCCAGCCCAGACGCAGCCCACCTTGACTGCGACGTCACACCCCTGCCAGCGGCCCTTGTACACGCGCCCAAACGACCCCGCGCCCAGCAGCACGCCTGCGGCCGTCGGGGGAGGTGGAAACACGGGCAGGGGCGAGACAATGTGCGCGGCCAAGAGCAGCCGATGAACAATACTACTGACAGCACCTGCACAAGCACGCCATCTTGGCGGAACGATTCCAGGCGCTAATGCTTGGCAGTTTCAGGCACCAGGGCGCCCGCAGGGCGGCACCGGGCAGCAGCGGCCCGCAACCCGCCCACCCAGCTGCACGTGGCCTGTCGAGACTCCTTGGTGGGAGTCCTTGATGCCAGGTGGTGAGTGGCGCGCCAGAAGCCGCCACCCCGCCCCAGGGCCGCCGCAGTCGATGCGTCCGCCGCCGCAGGCGTCGCTGTCTTCTGGCCTGCTCAGTCGGCCGATTTGAGGAGCGTGCAGCGGGGGGGCGCGGCGGGGCAGGCGGGGCGGTTCGGGGCGGGGCTGGCGGGGAGCCGTAGCGCAGCGCTCGTGAATGCAGCGCGCTGCTGCACGGCGTGTGGGGCTTGCAACAGGCGGCCTGCCGGCAGAGGGCAGCAGGCTGTTGCAGGGCGGCCCGAGGGGCGTGGCGGGCAGGCGCGATAGTGCAGTGCACCCAGCCGCCCGCTCCCGCGACTCACAGCTTCCAGGCAGGGGCGAGCAGTCCCTCCAGGGAGGGCCCCGACGGCGCCACGTCCGCGCCCGCCGCGCGTGCGGTGGCGGCTGCCGCTGCCGCGGCCGCGGCGCGGCGCCGGCGGCGCGGCAGCATCACGCATGCTGCGAGGGTCGCCAGCAGCGCGGCACCGAGGCCTCCTGCGGGACGAACGCACAGGAGTGGCCGTTGTTGGACTTTAAACGGCTGTGGGCAATGTTTCTGATAGTGCACCCTCTGTCTGAATACAACAGACCGGTCCGTACACTCCAAATTTAAAACCCAACGCGATTGCGAACCCCATGCAAAGCAGCACCTACGTACAGCCCGCAGCCCTGCTAGCCAGTCAGCGCGTCACCTGCGCCGAGCCCTGCGCCCAGAGACACCGCCAGCCGCTGCCCCGGCCCGCGCGGCGGCGCCACCTCTAGGGAGGCCTGATAGGCTTGATCTGTTCGAATTCACACAGGGTTCAGGCGTTGGTCACGAGGTTCATCGGCGCGGGCAAGCCGATTGAGAGGGCCACACGCAGGGGTTGGACAGGGTGCGGGGACCATCAGCGGTGGGAAGCTGGGTTATGCGACTGATCGATCGCGCTCGAGCTTCGGCAGTGTTGACGTTTGTACGGACGAGTGGACCCCCCCGTTGGGGGCACGCGCACCGGCGCTGGGTGCGGCGCAATGGATCCGCCATGTGTCAGTGCGCGGCCGCCACAAGAGGGAATTTCGAGAGGCCCCAGCCACACTTATGGCCGGCCTTGAGGCGAGCAGGTGCACATTTAGCGCAGCCCCGACTGATGGCCCCGGCCCACAGGGACGAGCCACTCACATGCCATGTCTTAACAGGGGCCTGGACCCAGGGTTTCCAGGCACCCGCAATCAACTGTGGTGACACACGCACGTGTCATGTTTTCCAAACGCCACCTGCGCGACAAGCCATGCATGCGTTTTGAGTGTGATGCGTGCAGACTCGCGTGTGTCCGCCACGCCGCCTCCCCCTCTTGCACGGCCCGACACCTGTCTTAGCCCCCATGTGCCCCGCGCTCCTCACATGTACATGCCGCGTCCAGGCGCGGCGGCCGTCCCCATGTCCTCGGATCGTGGCGCGATCAAGATGCGGGCGGACCCTATGTGCAGATAGCCCCGGTAGCACTCTTCAGCAAAGCAGATCGTGCTGTTTGACCACGCGTAATGGCCTGCCCCCGCCGCGGCCGCCACGCTCTCCGCGAGCGACGTTCCCCGGCTGCCGGCGGCGCCGACGCCGCTCGTTGGCGGCGTTGCGGCGACGTCGCCCTGCGGCGCGTCGGGCGGCAGGCAGACGGGGCGGCGCCAGGCCACGTCTTGGAATGCGAGGACAGAGGAGGGGCCCTGGCCTCGTAAGAACTCGGCGCCGGCGCCGGGGCCGTAGCTGTGGGCGGAGGCGAGGGTGGGGAAAGGGGGGGTGATGGGCCCAGTGCATGCGCCGGGTGATGGTCATGGGGGTTGGCGACGCCGCGGCTGGCAATGAAAACAGGGGCGGGCCCTGGCCAGGCGGCGCGGAAGCCGCCATCGGGTCAGCGCTACATCATGACATCATCATGACAC